AACTGAAAACAGGGTGGACTGGGGGTGGGGGCCGAGAAGCCAAGCCTTTCCTCACCTGTACTGCAGACATCAACCACAGAACACTCCCAAGAGGCTGGTACTTAGGTACTTAGGCACATGGGCAATTGGTGCCATTTCCTTTTCCGTCTTGACCATTAAAAGCACTTTGGGAGGCCGAGGCGGGCGGATCACGAGGTCAGGAGATGGAGACCATGCTGGCTAACACGGTGAAACTCCGTCTCTACTAAAAAATACAAAAAATTAGCCGGTTGCGGTGGCGGGCGCCTGTAGTCCCAGCTAGTCAGGAGGCTGAGGCAGGAGAATGGCGTGAACCCGGGAGGCGGAGCTCGCAGTGAGCTCAGATCGCGCTACTGCGCTTCAGCCTGGGTGACAGAGCGAGACTTCGTCTCAAACAAACAAACAAACAAACAAAAAACAAACAAAAAAAACCCATCTTTTTCTAAAGTGCCTGGTGTTGAGTGCTTAACTTAGTCACTTAGCTGAAGGGGGCAGGCAGGGCAAGGAGAGCTGAAAAGGGGTATCGGTCAAGTTCCTCCAGCTAGATCACAGCCACTCCTCAGCGGCAGTCGAGTTAACCTCTGAGTGAAGCAGTCCACAGCTGCGAAAAGAAGGTAATGGTACTTCCTCGGAGTGTCAAGCACCTCGGGTCATGGGAGGCCGTCACTAAATGACTGTATAAAAGGAGGGGTTTCAGCAAGATGATCTCTGAGTCTTCTTCCACCTCAAATATCAAATGAGCCGGAACAATACCCACTCAGCCTATCATTGTTCAATACATATTTATTGCAGATCATGGAGCAAATGCCGAAACAGTGAGGACTAGGTCTCTGGACAAGCCAGCTGGAGAGGTGAGAGCTTCTTTGTGACCTGTCGCTTTGCTTGGCACACAGTAGCTGCTTGAGGTATGTTTGTCACGTGAAAAAGTGTGTTCATTGTGCCCCAGAGACCTAGGCTCCACAGGAGCTGAAGGAGTTTCAGCAGTTCTGATTAGGTGTCACTAAAATGGGACTTGCTCCCTTGGGGATCTCGAGCTTTGGACAGGAGATAAAAATACAAAGGATTCTAGAACAGAGGAGCCCCAGGAGATGAGCTACCCTGTGAGTTCCACAGGTGGTTCCTGCCAAGTGCATGAGCTAGGCAGATGCGCATGCTAGCTGTAGGTCTGGGAGGGACAGAGATGTGTGTTTTATTGAGGTCGAAGGGTCCTCTGTGAGAAATGACATAATTGCAGGTTAATGGTGGATAGTGCTTTTCTTCCTTACTTAATATCTTTGAATACTGCATTAAATTGTTTTTAAGCCACCGGAATGGTTATTAAATTAGTACCCTTTTGGAAAACAGTCTGGCAGTATATTTCTAGTGCTTTATCCTTTGGCACATGGCCTCTTCTATTTCATTCTGTCCATTACCTTCCCCTAGGCATGGCAGGGTGCCCCAAATCTCCCATCTACCCAGAAGATTTCAATTTAACCTTTGGAAAGTACAAGCGACATGTGTAAATAGGCCCTCTCACCCAGGATTACTATTTTAATCATGATTCAACTTATAGACAAATATTAGGCAGAAAGATGTTCACAAGGGTCTTACAAGAATGAAAATTTGAAAATAATCTAAATGTTAACAGCAGGAAAAAGAGTAAATAAATTACGTTCTCTCAACTGAATAGAATATTTAGCAATGATGCACAATATTTGATATAGGCTGTGGGGAAGTAGGTACTCTTTAATACATTATTAGTGGGAGTATAAACTGGTACAAATCTTTTAGAGGTAAATTTAACAGTATGATCAAAAGTAAAAAACAAAAAGGGCACGTGATTCAATTATGGGGATTTTTCCTAAGGAAATGATTAAAATTTGGTTTCACTTATAATAGCAAACGATTGTAGGAAAAAACCCTAGTTCCAACCGTAGGGAATTGGCTCAGTAAGTTATTATGTAACAACAAACAGCCAAATTAATTTTGAAAAGGAAAAACGAAGCTGGAGGCATCACACTTCCTGATTTCAAAATGTATTACAGACCTACAGTCATCAAACAACAGTATGGAATTGGCATAGACACAAAGAGACCACTGGAAATGAATAGATACCCCAATAAACCCATCCATATATGGTCAACTGATGTCCAACAAGGGTGCCAAGAATACACACTGATGAAAGGATAGTCTCTTCTACAAATAGTGCTGGGAAAACATGATATCCACATGCAAAATAATGGAATTGGACCCCTATCTTATGCCATACACAAAAATCAACTAAAAATGGATTAAAGACAAATATAAGACTGGAAATTGTAAAACTCTAGAAGAAAACACAGGGGAAAATCTTCATACCATTGGTCTTGCAATGATTTCATGGACATGACATCAAAAACAGAGGCAACAGAAGCAAAAATAAAGCCGGACTGAATCAAACTGAAAAAGCTTCTGCACAGCAAGGTACACAATCAACAGAGTGAAAAGACTGACAGAAAATATTTGCAAATCATATTTCTTATAAGAGGTTAATTTCCAAAAAAATATAAGGAACTCCTACAACTCAACAGTAAAAAAACAAAAAACAAACAAACAAACAAAAAACTAGTAACCTGATTTAAAAATTGGGCTCAGAACTTGAATAGACATTTCTCCAAAGAATATACACAAACAGCCAACAGGTATATGAAAAAGTGCTCAGTATCACTAATCATCGAGAAATGCATATCAAAACCACAATAAAATACTTCTCAGGGCTGGGCGCGGTGGCTCACACCTGTAATCCCAGCACTTTGAGAGGCCGAGGCAGGTGGATCACCTGAGGTCAGGAGTTCAAGACCAGCCTGGCCAACATGGTGACATCCCATCTCTACTAAAAATGCCAGGCATGGTGGCACATGTCTGTAATCACAGCTACTTGGGAGGCTGAGGCAGGAGAATCACTTGAACCAGGGAAGCAGAGGTTTCAGTGAGCCGAGATCACACCACTGCACTCCAGTCTAGGCAAGAGTATGAGACTTTGTCTCAAAAAAAAAGAAAAAAAAAAGATACTTGTCAGGATGGTTATTATTAAAACAAAAACAAAAAACAAGACAGACAAGTATTGGTGAGGATGTGGAGAAACTGGAACTCCTGCATGCTGTTGGTGGGCATGTGAAATGGTGCGGCTGCTACAGAAACAGTATGGATGGAAGCTCTTAAAAAAAAATAAGTATAGAACTTCCATAACATCCAGCAAGACCACTCTGGGTATTTATCCAAAGGAATTGAAATCAAGACTTTGAAGGGATATTAGCACTCCTGTGTTCAATGCAGCATTGTTCACAATAGCCAAGATGCGGGAACAATCCAAATGTCCATGCCAGATGAACAGATAAAGAAAATGTGGTAGATGCATACAATGAAACTATTCAGCCTTCAGAAAGAAGGAAATCCTGCCATTTGCAATAATGCGGATGAACCTTGGGGACACTATGCCAAGTGAAATAAGCCAGTCCCAGAAAGACAAATACCGCATGATTCCACTTATATGAAGTATCTAAAATATAATGATGTCAAATTCATAGATATCAAAATGTCAGATTCATGGTTGCCAGGGGCTATTGGGAAGAGGTGTAGAGGAAACAGGGAATTACTAATCAACAGCTATGAAGTTTCAGCCAAGCAAAATGAATGAGCTCTAGAGTCTGCTGTACAACATCGTCCCTGTAGTCAATGATATTGGATTGTACACTTCAAAATTTGCTAAGAAGGTAGGTCTCATGTTATGTGTTCTTACTGCAATAATACAAAAGAAAAAAGAAAAAAACTACATATGGAATTAAAAGGCCTACATTTCTCACTCATTGACATATGATCTATTAGAAGTTATTTACATTTTCTGAATCTCCATCTCTTCATTTATAAAATTAAACCATAATAGAACCTGGACTGAACTCTCCAACTCTGTCAAGAGGGAAGAAATTTACTGTTGGCCTTTACTGGTCTGTTTTATATTTCAAAAGAATATTGGGTGTTGCAAATTGGAACTGAAGGGGTAAACTTATTAAACCTGTGATTGGTTGGTGTTTTCCTATCATTTTAACAGACTAAATTTGTAGTGGGCAAATGGGAAAATACTTGTACAATTTAAAAATGTCATCATTAAATATGAGCTGATCCCTCACCCCCACCCCTAAAAAGAGCCTGGAAAAAAAGTGATGGAAGACTCCTTAAATAGAACATACTGCAGTTATAAAAATGATGCAGAAATCAACATTTTTTAACATGGAAAGATGTTCACTAGACATAGTTAAATGGGAAAAAATAAGCTACAAATTAATATGTGCATTTTAATCCCATTTTTGTTTATCTGAATGTTCTCATTTATCTTGCTGAATAATTATACCTCTGAAATCAAGAAAAAATAACAATAATAATATTAGCTATAAAAGCTCTGTAGCAGTACAAAAAAACGCTTGCACAATAAAGGGAGGAAAGGGCAGGATAAAATTGTATACACTGTGTGATTGCAGTTATGTAAAAATTACGGACCTTGACAAGAAGGGTATACTGAAAACTAAAAACTGTGATTTGTTAGGATGGGAAGATTATGGGTGATTTTCCATCCTTTCGGTTGTTACTATGTTTATGTAATTGTTATTTTTTTTTCAGATCTTTTCAGACTTTTTCCTCTGTAGCCTCTCCTCTCCTTGGAATGGTTGTCTTTATGGTAAGTAAGGCTGCTTACTAAATATAATGCATTCCATGGGCCTAGTGTACAGCTTACTGTTACTTTCATGGAGAAAGGATGGTCTCTGCAACACATGGTTGGAGCTGACTTTCCCTGGGTGAAGTCTCTGCCATCTCTACCCTATTTCTTATCAGCCCTGATCCCTGACCCCAAGCAGCAGATGCTGTTGGGCTAACCAGCCCCTCCCTTTGGGTTCTTCAGCGCCTTCAGGCCCCGACCCATTTTGGCTATCTTGGATCCCACCTGAAGGCTCAGGACCTTGCTGGGGCAGAACGGCGAGCAAATGTGAACCACTAACAACGGGTCAGGGTGCCCTCACACATAGCTGTGGCAGGTACATTTCTTTGAAGAAAACAACTTGGCAAATGCATCAAAAGCCTTTAAAATGTTCACAACCTCTGGTCTAGTAATTTTGATTCTAGGGTGTTATAAAATAATAAGTAATGAAGATGTAGGTACAAAGACACAGGCTTAATATTTTTTATAATAGTAAGATATTAGAAATAATCTAAATGTCCAATAATGGGAGAGTGGTTACATTATGGCATATCATAAGGTTGCCATGTAAAATACAGGATACCCGGTTAAATTAAAATTTCAGATAAGCAACAAATAATTTTTTTGGTATAAGTATGTCTCAAATATTGCTGTAAGATACATTTATTCTAAAAAATTATTCTTTTTTATAGTATTTGTTTATCTAAAATTCAAGTTGGGATAGAGTTATACTAAAAATTTATTCATTTTTGGCCGGGCGCGGTGGCTCAAGCCTGTAATCCCAGCACTTTGGGAGGCCGAGACGGGCGGATCACGAGGTCAGGAAATCGAGACCATCCTGGCTAACCCGGTGAAACCCCGTCTCTACTAAAAATTCCAAAACATTAGCCGGGCGAGGTGGCGGGCGCCTGTAGTCCCAGTTACTTGGGAGGCTGAGGCAGGAGAATGGCGTAAACCCGGGAGGCGGAGCTTGCAGTGAGCTGAGATCTGGCCACTGCACTCCAGCCCGGGCAACAGAGCGAGACTCCGTCTCAAAAAAAAAAAAAACAACAAAAAAAAACACCTTTATTCATTTTTATCTGAAACTCTAATTTATCTGGATGTCTTGTATTTTCATGTGCTAAATCTGGTCACCCTATACATCCATATGATGGAATATAATATAGCCATTAAAATTCATATTTTTAGCGCAGTAGCTTTCAAATTGTGCTTCTTCTCTTCCTGCGCTTTAACTAGAATGTCTCACCTTTTGTCTCTTTTATATTTTAGACTTCTGTGTGAGATTTGGTTTAAAAATAAGAGTTCCATTACTAAACAAAGTTTGAAAAACACTGTTTTAGAAAACTAACAACAGGAAACAGTGCTCATAAAATAGATACTACATAGATAAAAATCATGTTAAAATCAGTATGATTCTAGGTTTGTGTGTACATGCACATACACACACAGAGAAAGAGAATGAGAGACAGACAGACATCAGACACACTGGAAAAATCTTTTTTTTAAAAAAAAAGTTATTATTTCTGGGTGTTGGAATTATAGGTGATTTTTGGAAGATTTCCAGAAGATTTTTTTCAAGTTTTCTTCAATGAATAAATGCATTCACATTTTGAAAAAGAATCACTATTAAAAATATCTACCTTCTCAGATGACATTAATACTTTAACATCCTTAATTCTCTATATATGTGATTATTAAATCAGGGAGTTATGAACGCTCTGGGGATCTAATGAAATCTGCATCCTATTCTCAGAAGGCAGATTCACACAAAACTTTGCATACAGCCCCCCAAGCTAAACTTCTTGTTAAGAATCTGTCTTGAGATTCTGTTTTCTTTTTGTTTGTTTGTTTGTTTTAGATGAGGTCTCACTGTCACCCAAGCTGGCACCATCTCGGCTCACTGCAACCTCTGCCTCTTGGGTTCAAGCGATTCTCCTGCCTCAGCCTCCTGAGTAGCTGGGACTACAGGCACACACCACCATGTCCAGCTAATTTTTTTGTACTTTTTGGAGAGATCAGGTTTCACCATGTTGCCCAGGCTGGTCTCAAACTCCTGAGCTCAAATCATCCACCTGCCTTTGCCTCCCAAAGTGCTGGGATTACAGGAGTGAGTCACCACGCCTGGCGCCTCCCTAGATTCTTGATTCTAGAATGCAATTACTTAACTCTGCCTGTTTATAAAGCTACATACTCTGGGCTGGGTGCAGTAGTTCACACCTGTAATCCCAGCACTTGGGAGGCTGAGGCAGGCGAGTCTCTTGAGATCACCCTGGCCAACATCGTGAAAACCCGTCTCTACTGAAAATACAAAAATTAGCCGGGTGTGGTGGCATGAACCTGTAATCCCAGCTATTAGGGAGGCTGAGGCAGGAGAATCACTTGAACCCAGGAGGTGGAGGTTGCAGTGAGCAGAGATGGCACCACGGCAATACTCTGTCCCTGAGGCAATGGTTCTTAAGTTTTTCTGGGGGATATGGGGAATGGTGATCGCACACCTGCTGAGACCCTGTTAAAAGCTATGGACTCTTTCCTCAGGAAAAAAGCACACATGAACACATAAACTCGCACGCAGCTGCAGGTGGTTTCAGAGGCTCACAAACCCCTGAGGTCCATGCTTGGAGTCCAGATTCAGAATCCCTGGCGCAATCCCAAGCCTTTGGCACTCCCTGGAGCCCTGAAATGCCCAACTTCCTTTTGGGCCAAACTGGTTAAACGTGAATTTTGAAAAAAGAAACAAAGCCAGGGATTGAATTAGCTCAGCACTCCCAGGGGGCTGCCTCACAGCAAGCACTTTCAAAGTGTGTGTGAGAGAATACGATGCAGAGGAAGAATTTCTTGTACTCTGAGTACCGCTGAAAAGCATTCAATTTGGGAGGGCTCCACGGACAGGAAGAAGAACCAGAAGGTAAATACCAAGTTGGTACCTCTTACTTCCTATGTCCCATGCCTTTGGGATGGGGCGAGGAGGGGAGTGTGGGGGTAGGAACAGGAGTCTTGTTTTAATTCTGAGTTGGATGTCCTCTTGCTTTGAAAGATCTCTCAAGCAGCTGTACCAAGAACCAAACCCCAAGACCTCTACCAACTGTCATGGCAAAGGGGACTGCTAGGACCTGGGAGGAGGGCCTGCAGGAGGGGTGGGCGATTTGGCAGTAGCTCTCCAGAGGTTAAATGGGCACACCCCAAGTGAAACGGAAGATTCTGCAGATGACTCAAATCAACATTTAAAACCATTCCTGCAGGCTTCAAACATCACCCCAGACCCTGATAGGCAAGAGCAAGCATGGTTTTCTGAGGTCAGAGAATGCTGCCTGGGCTCTCTAGGGGGCAGCAGCTCTTAGAGGTGGCCCTGGCAGCAGCAGAAGCATCACCAGCCACAGCGCCAGTGACAGCAAGGGCAGGAGTGGCATCACCCCAGTGCTGATGCTGCTCAGTGTTTCCATTTCTGGGTCTGCATATTTGTGTGAATATGTGAGTGTGCTTATGTGTGTACACAGGCACAAGCTTTGCTGTGGACAGGGATGTGTCTGTGTGTATCAGAGCATATGCATGTGTGTGGGTGTAGCACACACATACTTTCAATACAAAAGTTCTTCAAGGGGGCACAGAGGGGTTCACCCAGTGGTTAGAGATTTGCTTATTTTGGAATTAACTTTTTTTTCAAGTTTCAGAGCCATTTGTGGGGAAAGCAGGCAGCACCCTAGGAAACATCCCTTCCTAAAATGTGCATACACATGTGCCAAATGCAGCCGCTGAGGGGCTAGGGAAGAGAGGCCTGGCGCTCTGGGGCCTCATCCCTTCATCCTGCTTCTGAGGCTGCTCGAACTCTTGCAAGATCTCAGAGTCGCTCCATCAGACCCTGTAACACAGAAGCCTTGGTGTCTTAGAAGGAGATAGGGACAGAATCTGTGGGAAGCCTCCACTGTAGCCTGACAGTTCCATGGTGAAGATGAGATTCCCAGCACCCAGCCCAGGGGAGTGACAGTCACAGGCCTCCCAGAGACCTGGCCCAGGAGTTTCTTCAACATGCTTTTTGGAGGCTTTATGAAGCAGAAGCGTAGCTAGGGCTCTGGGAGGCAGGAAGACTGGGTTTGAGTCTCAGATCCCCACAATGGGCAAGATGTATTATTCACTCAGCCTCCACCTCTGCACCTGCAAAATGGGGACAATGACAGAACCTCTTCCTTAAGGATATTAGAAAGACTCAAGGTAATGCCTCCACAGTACACTGCTCAGCACTCCCCACCCCACCTTATGGATGAGGCTGCCCTGGCTCTGGAGCACCCTTGGAGGTCAGCCACAGCCTTTGCTGCAACACCATCGCAGGGGAGCATCTTCCTCTGCGCCATCCTGTGTGCCTTGTAAGTATGCATTCCAAAGTGCTGCCGAACAAACCTGCTGCACGTAAACCTCCATCTCAGAGTCAGCTTCCTGGGAACCTAAGACTTGAGGTGAGATCCCTTAGGGAGCAAATGAAGTGAGAACAGCCTTGACAAGCAATTTTGGAGGAACAGTGGGGACAAAAACCTCCCTGGAGTGGATTCAAGAAAGAACGAAAGGAGAGAAACAGCACAGCAAGTGTAGGCAACTCTTTCCAGGAGTTTTGCTGTTTTACTAGGAGCACAGAGATGCAGAAACAGCAAGCCATTTCCCCAGGGCTACTGCACGTGCTGAAATCGGGCCCTAGATATGGACACCTGTCCCATCTGCCTCAGTCTCAACTGCACACAGATGTTTCTTAGCAGTCTTCAGCAGAAGAACTGCTCTGATACAAGCTAGTTCATTCCAGCTGGGAGCAGAAGTGCAAGGCCTCGGCCTTGGGTGATGTCCAGAGCTGAGTGTCGGGACTTCTGAAGACACAGGAGGCAGCTCCCTCTTGGCTGCGCCTACCTCTGCAGGACAAAAGCCTCCAGCCCTCGGGTAAAGGCAGATGCCTGGCCTCCCCCGACTCCAACTCTCTTCAGTTACACACCCCTGCCTACAGCTCCAGCACCACAGAAGATACCCAGTAAAGCCACTAGCAACCTTCCCACTAGGCCCCCAGATCTGGCTTATTAAATTGTCTCCTGTCACAAGGACCACTTACAACAGCTGTTGCTGTGGCAACCAGGCAGTCAGCCTTCCGCTCCAGCTAACAGCCATGAACCTCCTGCTGACTACTTGGCTTAGGCAACTGCAGAAGATGCCCCCAGAGTGTCTGTGAGGCTGGAACACGGTGGAGGACGTGG